TTTTTTAACATTTTCTAATGGTGGTGTGCCTCGTGATTTTTTTCATGAAAAAAGTGTGCCTTTGCACAAAAAAGGTTGAAAAACACTGATCTAATCAAAAGCAATAATAATATATTAATAATATATTATTAAAAATAATATATTATTTTTAATTGAAGTTTGCAACAAAAGGTACTTACTTCACTTTCTGAAAATCTTCACATGTAAGAACACAGAAATTCCAAAAGTAACATAAAATATCTTCTTCTGAATTAGACCATTGGTCCATTAATTTTCTCTGCTCTACAAGCAGTGCCTTTTTATGATGGTAAACACATTTGGTTTGGGCTCATTACTTAGTTACAGAAAGCATCATTCTGCCCAGGTCCATTGGGCAGATTCACAGTTTTTGCTTTTTATGTAAGTGGCTTGCCATAATAATAGCAGTCTTGACTTTTAAACGAGGGGAAAATCATTATTTTAACCTATGCATCATTTTACCAGTCAAAATGTTCTATTCACTTTAAATTTTGCAGTTGAAACTTTGGAATTAAAACACTTTGGAAATTATGAGACATGCTTGGTAGGTTTTTGAAGGTAAGAAACCTTGCGTATGTGTTACTTTAGGGGTTAGAGTTTCCCATAGCAAGAATGCTGATTATGTCAACAAGCAACAGCCACTTGAGACCAAGTCTAAGTAGCAATGTCTAATAAGCGATGGGAGAAGGGAAAAAAAGAAGCAGTGGGTTTTAAATTGCACTGGGTATAAGAGGGCATAAAACCCTCATGTTGACAGAAGGCAGTCAGCACTTAAAAGAGCTTCATTCCAGTATGCCATAAAGACTCTTATGAATTAAGATTCAGAATCACTTGGTTGAGTTGGGTAGCTATAGGAAGGGGAGGAGAGGGGAGGGGAGGGGAGGGGAGGGGAAATTTTTATCTAGCTTGCCAGGTAAACTTTCTGGGAGCTTCTGCTGAGCTTTAGTCAGGAGGCTTGAAACCCAGGGCACCACCATATATGGCTTTGTAGGAATAGCATACCAAGTTGCATGTTTAGGTGTCTTTTACATCATGTAAAAGAAATTGTTTTTCTTTTCATAGTAAATACCCCGACAAACACTGAATGTCCTTGTGAGATGTGATGTTTGCTTTACTTGTATAAATTTATAACTTTATCTTAAACTTGCTGCTTGCTGAATGTCAGCTAACCTGCTGCTTGCTGCCATGGACAAGCGGGGAGGGGTCAGTGGATAATTTTTTGTTGCAGCTTTGCAATTGGGCTTTGCTTATCTCTCCAAGATCATTCCTTCTAGCTTTGGTATGCAACAGTCCTCTGGTTGCCTAGCTACAAGGGGGTTAGGTTCTACAATTTGTTTCAATGTAGTTTCATGCACTTTGCTTCAGATCTTGCCTGAAGCTTGTTGCTTTCAGTTTGTTCCTAGTAAAGTATTTTTTTCTCAATCTATGGTGCCAAGGATTTTTCTTTCCTAGGAAATTGACAGGCAGCTGTGTCCATGCAACCAGCATCATCCTATTATTTTGAGAATGTTTGGGGGAGGGGGAAAATCTCACAGCAATGCCACTGGTTAATGGAGAACTCAATTTACTATCAGTGTAGATCTAAGACAACATCCAATACTGGGCATGGAGAATACAGTATGTGCAATAGGAAGGAGGGAAAGAGGTACGTTTCTAATATTGTTCTTTGCATGTTGCGGACAAAATATTATCCCAATATTCTTCATTTCTTCTGTTTGCAAAGTTAGGAGGAGAATTTTGCCCGATGATGAGGAACATTTGAAAATAGGAAAAGAAGAAATATGAATCTCTGATTATAGTCTATGGAGATTCTCAGTCATCCAGGTCATGGTTTTTTCCAAGAGGCAACTGTATGGTGTTTTTCTGTTTTTCTTTGAAGATGTTTTGCTTCTCATCCAAGAAGCTTCTTCAGCTCTGACTGAATGGTGTGAAATAGAAAAATTTATACTCCTTACAGACAACTGGTCATTTGCATTCTTTCAGACATTCATTGAGGCCACTTGGAAGTGTGAAAAAGTTCCAAGCTCCAAGTTAATTCAGGAGATTGTAGGGTTTCTGATTTTTAAAATTTCTGTTGGGATACTGGAAATGTATTTTGTTTCTCTTAGACCCTGGCTTAAAAAAAGCATTCCTATGGTTTTTGGCATTATGCCCTGTATTTGATTNGACCCAATCCTTGTTGAAGACAAGAATAAAAAGTAGGTCATGCCTACGCCAGCAAAGAAGTCAGAGCAAAAATCTGTGTCTTACTTTCGGAAGCAGTCCTATTGTCAGTCAGATCAGGGCCTGCTCTACGCCTTCCCTCCCCTTCCCCTTCTTCCTGGGGTAGTTCGGAAAGTGATATCAGAGAAGGCAGAGCTCATCTTAGTGGCTCCCTACTGGCCACGCTAAGCGTGGTTTGCGCACCTAATGTGCCAGTCAGTGTCACACCTGTGGAGGATCCCGGGGAGGGATGTGGACCTTAGACAGGGGAACCTGGTGCATCCCGAGCCACAGTGGGTGCAGCTAGCCATGTGGAGATTGAGCGGGAGCGCCTAAGGGCTGCCCAGCTTTCACAGAGGGTGATCTCCACAATTGAGGCTTCACGCAAGGGTTCCACCACTAGGATTTATGATTCCACTTGGTGGGTCCTTGCAGAGTGGTGCCGGGTCTTGGGAGCGAATCCTCGCGAGGCTTCGGTACCACACGTCTTGGAGTTCCTCCAAGATGGATTGGATAGGGAGCTTTCACAAAACCTCCTGCAAAACCTCCTAAAGCAACAGTTCAGGTAAATCAAATCAAATCAAAGACCAACTATCACTTTACCAATAGAATAAAATATACGGCTGAATAGTTGAATAGTGGAGTCCTTGATGCTCTCTGAGCTTAGTTGTTTGATCATAGATGTTTCATTACCTGACTAGGTACTATCATTGATACTAGTGAGCATGGTGTTTGCTCTGGATTTGTCTCCTTAGTACCCTGATCCTGAAAGCCTATGAAGAATTAAGGAACCAATGAAAAATATGTACTCTAATCAAAGGAAGTATGAATGAGAAAACCATTCCCCCTCCAACAATGGCAAGGCAAGTTGCTGTTTATAAATAGGGAGTAAACAACATACACAGTGCCATTAATGAGTGTGTACTCTGTACACTGTACCTAGTCAGGTTATTAAATATCTGCAAGCAAACAAGCTCAGAGAATACCAAAGACTCAACTGTTCAGCTTTGATTGTCTCTTGGAAAGAATACAAATGGCTCTTACCCAGTGGTGGGATTCAATTTTTTTTACTACCAGTTCTATGGGCGTGGCTTGATGGGCATGGCATGGCGTGGCTTGGTGGGTGTGGCTTGGTGGGCGTGGCAGGGGAAGGATACTGTAAAATCTCCATTCCCTCCCCACTCCAGGGGACGGTTACTGCAAAATCCCCATTTTCACCTGATTAGCTCGGACTCAGGAGGCAGAAATTAGTTGAAGGTGGGGCCAGTAAGAGGTGGTATTTACCGGTTCTCCGAACAACTCAAAATTTCCTACCATTTCTCCAGAACTGGTCATAACCTGCTGAATACCATCTCTGCTGCTTTCATGAAAACATAAATACCATATAATTTACGGTAGCTTATTCTTTTCATACACAAAAAATGTTTTTTTCAGTAATCCCTTTTCAAAATAATCCTAAAATCAAAACTAGCAATATCAAAGATGTCCTTAAACTTTTCTCATTATGTTTCATCTCAAGAGAATAAAGTAAAAATATTTTGGTGAAGATTGGCTTGAGTGTTGGCCTTGCTTATATGTTTTTACATGGAAGCATGTCTCATTGAATTCTTAAAACTTAACTTTTGAGAAGATGAGAACTAATAGGCAGCTTTAGCCAAAGCACATCATGTACACTGTTATACATTTCATTGATTCACAGTCCCATTTAGCTATTTGATCTAAATGATAAACCAGTCCTGCTTAAATAAAGTGTATTTTCTCCTCCTCTAACTGTATGATATAGAAGAGCAATACAAAAGAAACGTAATAAATGCTTCTCAGATTATGCTTTCTTTTTCACAATATAGCCTTGAATTGATGCCCCTTCACTTTCCCATTTAAGAAATGTCATTCCCTAAATCTGTAAAGGTCTTTGCAGCTGTTGAGTTTTACTACTATTGCATAGGGGAAATATGTACCTAAAATAATTGTGTAACAGAAATGTGGCAACACGATTTTTCTTCTCCTGGTAAAGTAGTAATTTCTTGGACTGCGAATGGCTAACGAGTTCAATTATTTCCAAGTTTTCAGCATCTCCACAGGCAGCGGAAAGAAAATTTGGGTATGCTGTAACTCTGCTGCCACCCAAAGTCTCTGACAGATTTTAAATAGCATACTGCTTGGCCAGTCTACCGTTTTTCCAAATCCCCCCCCCCCTCAGTTTGCTATAGTTTAATGGGATTTTCATGTAGTTTGCCATTTATTCTAATCATAAAGCTATCTTGGGTGCAGATTCCACTGTACTTTTGCTTCCAGCTTTCTTTGAAGTCCACCATAAAAACTTCCATCATAACATGCCTTAGTGTCAAATGCAAATACATGTCCCCTACAGCATCTTTGCAGAGTGAATGTATTAATGTACACAGCGTTTCCTTGCTGCCACTGAGATACAGAAGATCTAATGGAGTCTGCATTATTTAAGCAATACAGGGCACTATGTTTTAAAAAGAACATTCTGTTAAGAATTTTGTCAAATTTTTTCAGCTTTGATTGTATCTTGGCAAGAATGCAAGTGGCTTTTAACATGAAAAATGTAAACACCATATAGCGTTGCTTGTTTGTTTTAAAGACAAAAATGTTTTTTTTATTTCCATTTCAAGCTAGCAGTTCTAAAGTCATACTTCAAAGATGTCCTTAAACTTTTCTCCTATGTTTCATTTCAAAAAATAATTAAAGTAAAAATACTTTGTGGGAGATTGGCTTGGGGTTTGGCATTGCACACAGGCGCCATTTATGCAGGTAATTTTTTGTGAGGTTTGCTCAGTCTAGCACTATGGTTGTTTGGAAACGGGAAAGTGGCCTGTTTCCAATGTGATACCTGTAATGTTCTTTTCTAAAATGAAAACCCTCTGCAGACATTGTTTAATGAAAAATTATCTTCTGATGCATTTATTAAATGATTTTAAAGGTTCTTAGTACCTCTACAGGGGGAAAAGGCCCTTTAAATATTGTTAAGATTTAAAAAGGTACATTGGAGTTTTCTCTGGGAACAATAGCCTTAATTTATGTTGACCTTTCTTTCTTTAAAGTATTTAGTCTGCATTCAATAAAATTCTAACGACTGCTCTTTAGAAGACAGCTGTACAATCTAAAATATTATAAATATTCAGCTTTCCATTTCTAGTATTGCCATTAACAGCTGAGCATCTAGTTCAGGAAAACAGATTTTACAGAGGAAGCTGGCACGTTCCTGAATCAGTACAGTGAAGAATGCGAGAAAATATTTTCTTATGGTTTAGGGACCTGTAAAGTCATAGAGCATCTGCTCCTTAATTCAGTCATAGTCTAGCAGCACTGAATCATGTTAAGAGCTGAAATGTAAGAATTGCTTTTTTCACCTTGAAAAATAAGGAGGTAAGTTACTATGCAATTCTGTATAACAATGTTCATTGTTAGTACTTTATAGTTAATAAATATTTTGGGTAATCTGATATTGGTATTCTGGTATTCTAATCAAAGTGTTTATTCCAGTTTTATGCCACCTGTGAGAAAACGGCATGGTTTTCAAAGCAGTATTTACCAACTTGTACAATGTATACCTGTATGAGATTAGCTCTTACTGTAAGAAAATGTTGTTTGCATGTGGTTAGGGTTAGTTAATGGGGATTATTACTAGCTACCAGTAAAGGATTTTCTTAGATTAAAATTTCCCTTTGCTTTCCGTCTTTTGTAGTGCTAAAAGAGCTTTGAAGCTGGAAAATCTTATTCCAGAAAAAGTAAGTATTTAAATTATTTTGTAAATTATTTTGTAGAAAACGTGTGTTTGTAAATAAGCAACATTTCAGAAAAAATATATAAACAGTTTAATAATAATACTGTGTAGAAGCTAGAGATCTTTGAAAAAATGCTATTTTATATAATAATCTAGCTTTGCATGAAACAATTGACTATAAACTAAGGAAATATAGTGCTGTTCTTTGTTTTGTTATATTCAAATCTCTTTGTTATATTCAAATCTCTCTCCAATACCAAATGTTTTTATGACATTGTTTATTAGAAATTTGTTTTATAATTAGTGAAGCAAATGCACTGCTATCTGAATCTACATATAACAATATGCAATTATGATAATAGTATAATCTGCATATTATAAACTGCAAAATTGAAAGCAAAACAAAGACATTTTTATGATGAGAATGTAATTAGCTGAGAGAAGTAATTTAACCTAAAATAATATATTGTAACATTGTATTAAATTACCCATTCGGTTATCATAATAAAAATAAAATTATATTGTTTTTGTGTTTCTCTCATTCTCCTTCTTTGGTAAATGTGACACTGTGTGTTTCTAAACCCATTGTGCCATGGCATATGCCAGTTTATTTTCTTCCAATTATGGGTGTTTCTGTGAAGCTAAACCAGGTAGCTTGTGGAAGAACAAATAATAGGAAAATATATCAAAATGTAAATAAAATGAATTTCCATTTTTGTTTGCATGTGCAATGTTTTTTTTAAATTTTATAGAGATTTGCTACAGTTTAGCTAAACTGAAAAGTTGACCTTGCTAAAATATGTATATTTTCTCTTTGTTTGGATTGAAACAAAATTCAAGCCAAACAAATAACAATCATTAGCAATGTAATTTGCAATTTCATTTTCTATTATTCATTATGTGCTGTAAATACAGCTGTGACTGTAATTTTGCATCTGTTTTCTAGGTCAGAAGGGTGTTTTTGGAAACAAGCGATCCAGCTTGAAATTATTTTATTCTACCCTAAAGCTGCTTTTTCTTCTGAAATGGAAATTTAAAAGGGGGAAAATGTTTATTTTAAGAATAATTATTTGGCATGTTTGCTTAGTCAGATCTCTTGCTGCAGGTTTATAATTTCATTACTTTTTCAAAAATCAGAGGTAAAATTAATCATGAAAATTGGGAGAACTACTTTTTTTGCTCAGAGTAAAAACTGTATTGCTAAATGTTGCAAGAAAGTGTTCAGATTACAAGACTACCATAATATATCTCATCCAGAGGTAGTTTCTATGGGCTGTTTTGAGAATATATGTAGGTGATAGAAACTTCAATTTGTAATCCTAAAAATTAAATCCTGAATGTTCTTAATTTCTTATTTCGTTCTACCTTTCCTCCTTTCCCTCCACTTTTCCCTAAATTTGGGGTAGTAAAACTAGAGTTAGAAATGTCTTGCTCTTTATATGGCATTTAATAAATATTAAGTTAATAATAATAAAAAACCTGCAGCTATCAGGCTCAAGTCAAAGATTAGACAGCAAAATCCAATTGATTCCAATCCTTTATTTGCTTACACCTAATAGAGAGAATCTTGCCAGATTAAAGCTATAACCTTCTAACCTAATAGAAGTACCCCTGAGAGATTATAGGATGTTGCTTCCTTGAATTTCTTCCTCCCTCTTCCATCCAGTTCAGGACTGTGCAGTCTCTTATTTTGGGCTTTTCTCTGGAGTGTACTGTCTCCTCCCTGGTAAATGGTGGTGCTTTTGCCAAAATCCCCCCCCCCGCCTCCTCCAGTTATACATTCTATTACAGCGGCAAAGATATTTCCAATTATGAATGAGCGATAAATGTTATTAATGTTTATTTATACACAAACATTAATGTTTAGCAATANGGGGGGGGGGGAGAAACGCCAGAGGGGGAACTGGAATAATTCACCACGCAGTAGTAAAATCTAAGTCAAGGAGAGGAAGTTGCTGGTGGGGAAGGCTTGAAGCTCCAATCTGGAGGAGGGGGGCTCAATGCAGCCGCTGAAATGACAGGGTTGGGATCGACTCCTGGATTTTCTTCCCCCCAAGGAGGCTTCTCTTTCCAGATGTTTTCCCAGCAGCCGATAGAAGCCCACAGCTTCTGAAGTTGGATTTATCCGCTCTGGATCCTTCAGAAATACAGTGGTTGTCAGGATTCCAAACAGCATCCAAAAATAAATCGGAGTCCGAGGCAAAAGATTCCTCAAAGCTCCAATTTATGAAGAGAGCCATCTTGGCACATCTGGGGAAACCCAAATCTGAAAGCTTCCCGGTTTCCCCCCCACCCCAGTTGAAAGTTCAAGATCTTGCCCCCCACACCCACAAGTCCATCCCATGGTCCGATCTCCCACTGCCACGCTGGCAGTTCCACCCATCCAATTCCGGTCAGGTGCAGAGACAAAGGATGACCTTGGTTTTCTAGAAAGAAATTTTGTTTTGGCTACATAGCATCTAACTCCGCACAATCCTCCCCTCCCATTTTCCCACCATAGAAAATGCAGAGTGGAATAATGGAAAGGGTGGCAGGCCAAAGACCCAAAAGAAAAGAGGGCTGCAGGCCTGACAGGGGTAGAACTACAATGATCAACATCCTCGGCCAGCAAAGTCGCAGCCTTCCCCTTTGTTCTTAAGCCCAGGAAAAACATCCTGGCGGGACTCTTCTCTGACCCAACTGAGGGAAGCTTCGGAGGGTCAGCAGAAGGTGTCAGACGTGCCTCCTTCAAAATTCAAGAAAGGAAACCCCCCCCCCCCAACTCCATTATTTTAGAGAAAAGGTACTTTTACTGAATATGAAGTGGAAGCAACGAAAGTAAAGCAAGACCTGGAGCTAAAGGTACAAAATTGTACATATCAAAGGTTTATCCAAATCCTCCCCACCCCCACAATGACCCCAAGCTAAATGTCCAATCTCCACCCCCCCAGGGGTGTCCTGTGGGGTGCATCTTCAGGTGGCCTCATCCATCTGGTATGCAGAGACGGCTGACCTGGCTAGACCTAAACAAGCATGCGCAGAAGATGATGAGAACAAAACTCCCTCCTCGTCCTCCAGCTCGATTCCCCTCCCAAATACCAAAAACCCCTCCCTCCCCATTTCGGTGAGATCCCACAGGGTGGGCCTCCTTCAGATGCCGTCAGCCAGACAATGTCGGCTGGCGGCTCCCCGGAGGAGGGCCTTCTCTGTGGCTGCTCCGACCCTGTGGAATGAACTACCCCCCAGAGATCCGGACCTTGCCCACTCTCACGGCCTTCCGAAAAGCTGTTAAAACCTGGCTATTCCGGCAGGCCTGGGGCTGTTGACCTCATGGGTGAGGTCCAGCCCCGATCAGATTGAGTGCATGTGAGATGTCTTAAATTTTCTTTTATTTTTTATTAATTACTCTTCTTTTTGCTTTGTAAGCCGCCCGGAGTCCTCCGGGATTGGGCGGTCTATAAATCTACCAAATAAATAAATAAATAAA